GCTGCTTTGTGACAATATTTATGATCATTATAATTACAAATTTTAAATAATTACAAATATTTTATTGATGTATTTATTCATATATTATACATATATAAAAATAAATTAGGACGTGTATGCCTTGCCAGGAAATCATCATATTTTATAGCCCCCGACTATGTTGTTCATATAGTCAACTTTGAAATTTAAGAGGAACGGGAAACACACGAGGGGAGGGGTACTTCTCACAAAACCAAAATAATCTTTTAGCACCTTGTGTGTGTCAATGTGATCAGCATTGCAGTGGGGACACCAAATACTTGGCACATTGTCATCAGACTTTATCTAATTAAGAAGAAATCCCCAAAGTCTCGTTCAGATATCACCAAACCGCACACATGGCCATCTGAAGACGAGATAGCTCTGGGGGCACTTATGAGAGAAAGCCTTACATTTGGGAAACACACGTCTGGAGCGGCTTCAGTGCCAGTGTGTTTGAGATAGTCCGCCCAATCGAAGTCTTGGGACTCAAAACCTGACAGAAAATGGGACATCAAGAAAAACCAAATGAGATTATTATTTTTCAATGTTTTTTACTAATTTCATTCTCTGATGCAGCAGTGCAAATGCTTTGGCAATACAAATACATACCACACTGAACTGAAAATAAAACTGAGATAAGAGGCAAACAGCATTGATAAAGACTCGTATTAAGTTAAAAATGAATTTAATAGAGCAAAAATCCCATTAACACTGTCACACCCACCTTGTGGCCTCTCCAGTCCAACACCATTCTTCAGACACCACTGCACTGGCTGGATGCCCGGTGAGTCAGCGTGACACACCACGCAAGTGGGCGTGGCTTCAGGTGTGGGGTTATCAACTGTGATCTGAAAGTAGTAATCATTATAGACCTGCAGAACAGAGAGACATGTGTGAGAGAGAGAGACTGATGTCAGGGTAGGTGACTAGTAATTATAGATGAAGGTAACTAGCATAACCCTTCATCTAGTGTGTGTGTGTGCGTGTGTGTGTGTGTGAGAGAAAAAGCGTACTTTAGTTACAGAGACGGGGCAGATGTGGAAGGGTTCTTTGGGTGATACCATTTCAAGCTTCATTCCTGCCCTGAAGGAGTGTGTGTGTAGGTCAGCATGATCCTGGAACACACACACACATACAGATATCAGTTGTGAAAGTTATCAAGAGCTTTGTGTAAAATAATGCCCCATTGCTCCAACTTCCCCAAAACACACACGCACACACACATACACACACCTTGAAGACCTCCAGTGGAAGGGGACTTTTCAAGGCTTTGGCTGTGGCTTCATCTAAAGCTTCAGTCCATTCTGAGCTGCTCCTCAAATCACACAGATCTGAAAGAGAAAGAGAGAAACACAAGCTCATCCATCCACCTATTTATTCACCCAACTATTCATCCATCCATCCATCCATTTATTTACTCAACCAGCTATATATCAATCCATCCATCATCCATACTGTTCATACAAATATTTATTCATCCAACTATCCATCCATTCATCATCCATCCACATATTTACAGTATTCATCCAACCATCCTCCACCTACCCATCCATCCATCTCTCCATCCATTAAAATATTTATTTACCAACTATTTATCAATCGATCCATCATCCATCCAGTTATTCATCACTCCATTCATTCCTTTAACCAAATATTATTCCAGTTATCATTAATTTATCAATTCATCTAAAGTGTTTTATCTATTCATCCATCCAGTTATTCATCCAACCTTCCCTCCATCCATCAATTTAACCAACTATTCATCCAATTATCCATCCATTTATCTAACACATCAAATCTATACATTTTTTTCATCCATCCATCTGTCCAAATATTTATTCAACCAAATATTCACCCATCTGTCCATCCATTTAAGAATTTTTTCATCCAACTGCCCATCCAGTTATCCATCCATTTATATATTCATCAGGTTTTCATCCATCCATCCGTCCATCCATGCATCCATCCAGTTATTCATCCAATCAACCAAGTATTTATTAAACTATTTATTAAACCACTATCTATCTATCTATCTATCTATCTATCTATCTATCTAT